TCCGCGGGGCTGGCGTAGGGCGAGCCGGTGGGGTTAGAGTTGGCCACGGGCCCGGCCACGTTGGCGTAGCTGATGTTGAGGCAGCTGCTGCTCTGGGGGTCTTCCTGTACCTTCTGCACGATGGCGCTCACGGCCTTGTGCACCTGCTCGGGCTCGCCGCTGACCGTCACCACGCGCTCCTGTAGGTTGATGCCCTCGGGCTTCTGCGACAGCTGCACCCAGGCACCCGATTGTTCCATCACGGCTTTCACCGTGGCTCCGCCTTTGCCGATGATCAGGCCCGCCGTGCTGTTGGGGACGATCAGCTTGGCCTGGGGGAGGAGAAACGGACACTGAGCAGTCTCGAGGCAATCCTAGCCCCCCTGATAGGCACCAGCGTGGTCCTGCTTGTGGAGAATGCTGAGCTAAGAGCGGTGGGACAAGCTTGTAATTCCAGCTGCTGGGGGGATGGGCAGGGCTGCAGCAGCAGGATCTCCAGTTCCAGGCCAGCCTGAGCAACATAGAGAGATCCTGTCTCACAACAGAAAGGGCTGGGGATCTAGCTCTGGTAGAGAGCCCACCAGTCATCTTCAGTACCACAATAAACAAATAAATGGCAGCCCCGGGTTCCATCCACGATATGGAAAGAAAAAAGATGTTCAAGTATTTCCCCCATGGTTGGTAAATGAATAACTGGCATTCCACGGCCTTCAGTAGCCCTATTGGGGGACCCCAGGTACTTCCCCTGGGTCCAGCTTAATGGCTGCCCCCATAGGGGCTCCTTCTCTAGACTGTGTTGGTGCCCGCACCTTCTGTCATGGGGAATGCTTTGTTTAGTTTTGTCCAGTACTGGGGACTGAACCCAGGAAGTGCCAAGCTACATCTCCATACTTTCATTCACTTACTCTATTGGAGATTGAGCCCAGGGGTGCTCTACCACTGGACTACACCCCAGCACTTTTTTTTTTTTTTTATTTTGAGAGAGGATCTCACTAAGTTGCCCAGGTTGGCCTTAAACTTAAACGATCCATCTGCCTCAGTCTCCTGAGTAGCTGAGTTCACAGGCACCACCATGCCTGCTTTTTGGGTACTCCTGACTCCCAGCGCTGGGCAAGGCTTTAAGTCCCACTTTATAGGCGAGCCACTTGAGAATTAAGAAATGAAGGGACTTGCCCTGAGGTCCCCCAGATGGGAAAGGAGCTGCAGTCCCTCGCCCTGGCCTCTGATCCACTGCACTCCTCACGCTACGACACGGTCTCCTCGCTTAACCTCCTTGTTGTTCGGGGCTGAACTGTGTGCCCCTCACATTCTTCTGTCAAAATCCTGACCCCTTGTACTTCACAATGTGCCCGGGCTTAGAGACAGGGTCTTTAAAGAGGTAATTAAGTTAAAATGAGGTCGTCAGCGTGGGCCCTCATTCACTAAGACTGGTGTTCTTCTTAGAGGACTTGGACACAAACACAAACACACAGAAAGGAGAGACAATGTGAAGAGGCAAGGAGAAGACGGTCACCCACAAGCCAAAGAGAAGCTGCAGAAGAAACCGGTCCTGCTGTCACACTGGCCTCGGATTTGGGGCTCTCAAGTTGTTAGAAAAATAAATGTCTGTTATTTAAGCCACCCAGTCAGCGGCACTTTTATTACGGCAGCCTAGCACACTAGCTCAGTTGTCTTATCCAAAAAATGAAGATAAGAAAAAGCTTTAGGTCTGAGAAGGCAGAGAGGGAAAGAGGCCTCGTCTTAAAGTTAGTGGCCCCTTCTCAGCTGCGGAACGCCCCATGCTTCCACTGCCCGTGTCCATGCAGCTACAAATCTGGTCAATCTTAGTTTTAGTGGGGACATTTTAAAACCGAGAATTCTCTTTCACACCTCCAAGAGCTTTTCTTTTTTCTTTCCTTTCTCTTGTCCTTTCCTCCTTTCTCTTTGTGCTGGGGATGGAAGCCAAGGCCTAGGGCATGCCAGCCAAGTGTTCTGTCACGGAGCCACACTCCCAGCCCCCTCCAGGAGAATTTCTATACATAAATTTCTCCTCAGAAATCCTCCTCAGGTCCTTTTAGACCCGTGGATTCTTTACTCCCCATCATCCTCTGAAGCTCACATCTCTGCCTCTCTTTTCTACCCTCAAGGCAGACAGGGAAGGACTGCGGAAATGTGTGCGTGTGTGTGTGTGTGTGCGTGTGCGTGCATGTGCACGTGCGTGTGGTTTTGGTTTTGGTTGTTGACAAGGTCTGGGAGCAGTGTGGATTTCAGCATGCAAGGCCACAGAGGGGTTTTTTTTTGTTTATTTGTGTTTTGTTTTGTTTTGTTTTGAGACAGGGTCTTGGTTTGTAGTTTAGGCAGGATTTAAACTCACTATGTAGTCCTGGCTGGCCTCAAACTCATAGTGATCCTCCTGCCTCTGCCTCCCAAGAGCTGAGACTACAGGTGTGCACCACCATGCAGGCCCTAGGTACAAGTGTGTTTGCACCTCACAACTAAAAGTCATTTCCTCGCAAGGCAGAACTATCCCAGGTCCTATGTGATACTTTCGAATGTCCCACTGGACATATATGCTACAGCCTGTTTACAGATCTCTCGAGTCCAGGACTGAATCCTATGATATGTGTGAGAGTGAAGTCTGTTTGTTTTGCATGCTTTAAAGAGCTACTTAGATTTGCAGGAACACAACCACCAGTAAATCAGAGAAAGACTGTACTTTATTTTGTTCTGAACTTTACCAAGAGTGGTCTATCATTTTAGAGAACTTTGATATCAGTAGAAATGTCACTTGTTTTAAGTCCCCAGTACTATATGCCAAATCACTTTTTTTTTTGAATCAGGGTCTTGCTATGTAGAGTAGGCTGGCCTTCAACTATGTAGCTGAGGCCAGCCTCAAACTTGAGGCAGTCCTCCTGCCTCAGCCTCCTGAGTGCTGGGATTACAGGCATGCGACACTATGCCCAGCTCACTTGGTGTTTGTAAAAAATTATTTCTTCTACTGTGAGCCCAGTTGAATATTTACATATTAAAATGCATCTTATTTTAAAACGTCACCTTCCTTTTATTTCTCCTATATTTTAAATGTCTTGTGGGATAAATAAAATATGTGTCATATCCATACCATGGAATATATGTTTGGCAGTAAGTTTAAATGAACAAGGTGCTGATATATACATGCTACAACATAAATAAACCTAGAAAAGATTATGCTAAGTGAAAGAGGCCAGTTACAAAAGGCCACATATTCCATTTACATGAATGTCCACAATATATAAATCCACAGAGACAAAAAGTAGATTAGTGGCTGCCAGAGGATGGGACAGGAAGGTTGGGGTGTGTTATGGTTTGTGTCTAGATGTCTCTCCAAAGCCTCATGCAGTCACGGGGTGGGCTTTTTGAGTTTTTGATTGACTCATGGTCTAGTGGGATTATGGGTGTGAATGCTACACCTACCCTGCACTGGGTGTAGCAGGGCAGGTAGCCTGCATACAATGTAAGGGAGGGAAAGAGGCTTGCTGCTGCCACTCCTCCCTTTTTTGCTCTTGTTGCTTTTGCTGTGTTCTGCTGCCATGAACTGTTGCCCTCTGCCATGTGCCTCTCTGCCTTGGAGCCAGCCGAGTATAGACTGAAGCCTCTACAAACTGTGAGCTAAGTAAACCTTTCCTTCCTTAACTTTGGGTGTTGGGTATTTTGTCCCAGCAATGAGAGAAAAGTAACCAAGACAGGGGGACTGCTAATAGGAATGCAGTTTCCTTTGGTGACAACAGAAATACTCAAACTAGATGGTGTTGATGGTTCTATATATTCTATGACTCTTTTTTTGTGAATGCCTAGAATAAGCAAATTATAGGTACAAAAAATAGATTAGTAGTGGCTTAGGCATGGAAAGGGATTAGGTGGGGGGAGAGCAGAGGGGTGACAGCTAAGGAGATCAAGCTTTCTTTTGGAGATGATGAAAATGTTTTAAAATTAATGTGCTAATGGATACAAAACTCTGAATATAATAAAAGCCATTGAACTGTATACTTCAAGTTAGTGAATAATGTGTATCTGGATTACAGTATATCTTAATAAAATGTTAAAAAATTATGGGTACATAACAATTATGTGCATATATTTCACAAAGCTAGAAGAGCTGGGCTCCACAGAGCATGCCTGTAATGCCAGCTAGTTGGAGGCTGAGGCAGGAGGATCTCAAATTCAAGGCCAGCCTGTACAACTTAGAGAGACCCTGACTTAAAATAAAGAATGAAAAGGTCTAGGGTCAGTGGTAGAACACTTGCATAGCATGTACTAGACCCTGGTTCCTTCCCTGGCACTGCAAAAAAGCAACAAAAATTAGAAGAAAAGATTTTGCATGTTTTCACCATAAATAAAGGACAAATATTTGAGGAGATAGGTATGTTTGACCTTATGTAAATATTGTACAATGTGTATATGTACCAAATTATCACATGGTACCCCCGGTAATATGTACAATTTTCAAGTTTTATATATTGGTTAAAATTAATTTAAAAATCTTCAGCCAGGTGTGGTGGTGCACACCTATAATCCCAGCACTCAGGAGGATGAGGCAGGAGGATCACTGTGAGTTTCAGGCCAGCCTGGGCTACAAAGTGAGCTCAAGGCCAGCCTGAACTGCATAGTGAGACCCTGTCTCAAAAAGACAAAAAAAAAAAAAAAAAAGATCTTATGAGTATAGATATGTTTTATGTGCATGGCTTAGGGAAGACCCATTACTTCTCAGAGCTGCTTACTCCACACCTGTAAAATGGGTGCATCATTCCTGATGCATACAGTTTTGGCAGGTACTCAGTGAGATACGGGTGGCCTGCTCCATGGGAATCATCCAGTCAGTGTTAGTTATGGCAGCTGGATGGCTATTTTCTCAACACAACAAGGTTCACTTCTACTGTGGGGTCTTAGGCAACTGCTTTCACCTCTCTGTACCTCAGTTTCCTATGCCCAAAAGTAGCATAACTACAGCTACCGTGGCAAGATTCAGTAACTATAACGTGCCTGCTCAGTGGCTGGCACATGGAAAGTCCTAGGAAAGTGGCAGCGGCCGTGATGATGACCCCAAGTTGTAGCATACAGCATCTTAGAGACATCCATGACCCACAGAACCCTGCAGTCCAAAAGTGTTAGGATAGCAGAGCCTCAGAAAAGTAATATAGGCCTAGAATCTTGGGGTCATAGACTCATGGAACTGTAGGAATTTTAGAGGCAGGAGGAACTCAGGGACTATCTGCCCCAGTGATTTGAACCCCATGGAAATTTTCAAGTTGTACTAAAAGCAGCAGTAGAAGCAGCAAACACAGAGCTTACCACTTGGGAGGAACTTTTCTAAAAAGTTTTGTATAGTAACTTACTTAGTGTTCACAACAAACGTTCACGATACACACTACTATCACATTTTCTAGATTGGGAAATGGAGGTACCAAAAGGTTAAGTAACTCATGCAAGGTATAGTAGTAGAGTTATGATCTGAAGCCAGATCAGAATTCATACTGAGATTCCCAGGCCTTAGCCCCAGAAGTTCTCATTCAGTGCTTCCGGGTGAGGGCCCAGGAATCTGAACGTTAAGTTATTCAGATGACTCACATACCAACTAGGAGCCAGGCGTGGTGGCGCACGCCTGTAATCCCAGCACTCCGGGAGGCTGAGGCAGAAGGATCTTTGCGAGTTTGAGACCAGCCTGGGCTACAAAGTGAGCTCAAGGCCAGCTTGAACTGCATAGTGGGACCCTATCTCAAAAAGAAAAAAGAAAAAAAAGAAACCAACTAGGGCTGAGAACTACTGGTTCAGCCCAGAGATAGTAAACAGGTGGCCCTTAGGCCACAGGTACCTTATAGGTATATTTTCTTTGACTTTCATGGTATTTTAAAAACTGAGCTAAGCTTTTAAAGTTAGCTGACTTCAAAGATTTGTGGCTTCTATTTAAAAATCTGAAAGATGTGGAAACGGTCCACGTTACTGAACAGCCAGAGCTGCACTGAGTTGAGTAGTGACTGCCCCCTTTAGGGACAGAATACCCTCTTCAGAGAGCCACAGCCCTTAGCCCTTCATGTTTCCTTCTGAATCTCAGAAGCATTTCAATTTATAACCCCTGATTTTATCCAGCTGCTACACTATAAAGAGAAATTGGGGCCTGTGGAAAGGAAGGAAGCCCTGAGTAACACAGCAGGTGCAAAGGAGTAGAAGGATCTCCTGACTCAAAAGTCCTGTAACAGCTAACATTTTGGGAAGAACTTTCTCTGCGTTATACATATATGTCAAGTACTTTTCAAACACCAATGAACATTAATCGCCACTCTTCAGTCTCTCTCAATAATGGGAATCAAACCCAGAGTCCTCCGTCTGAATTACATCCTCAGCCACCCCTCCACCTTTTTTGGTACTGAGAATCAAACTCAGGACCTTGTGCTTGCCAAGCAGGTGTTTGCACCACTGAGTTGTATCCCCCGCCCCCTCAGCTCTTTTTAACTTTTATTTTGAGATAGGTTCTCACTAAATTGCCCAGGCTGGGCTGGAACTGGTGATCCTCCCACCTCAGCCTTCCACAGTGTTAGGATTACAGGTGTACGCCATCCCACCTGGCCCATAAATCTCATTTATTTTTCTTTGCTTTTTTTGGTCTTTTTTGAAACAGGGTTTTACTATTCAGTTCAGACTGGCCTTGAACTCACTTTGTAGCCCAGGCTGGCCTTAAATTCACATCGATCCTCCTTCCTCAGCCTCCTGAGTGCTGGGGTTACAGGCATGCACCACCAAGCCCTGCAAATCTCATTTACAAATGAGAAAAATGAGGCACGGAGAAATCAAGTCACTTGCTCAAGGTCACGCAGGTAGAACAGAGTAGGTTTCAGTTCAACATCTGACTCCAGAGCCTGGGCCTTCCGCCACTATCTGTCTCATTCTTTGGACACCACACAGCAGTAGTAAGGCTGAGGATAAATCCAGCTTCTGTAACCTTTTGACTCCATTGCATGGGAGTTCCAGTGGATTAGGGGGAGGAGGTGGAAGGCTCAGGCACAGATGGTGCTGACCCCATTTCCCCTGAAACATCCACAAATTCTCGATGAACCCTGAGTCCCTTGTGGCCACGACCAAGGCAGAGGGAAGAGGCAGTGCCCTCGCCTCCCTGTGAACTGTGCGCCGCTGGTGGGAAGGGATTTGGGATAGGCCTGGCGGGGCGCGAGAAGCAGAGCCACTTCAGCACCAAGGACAGCGGTCGCGCTCCAAGCCTAGAGGCCGCCGTCTCTTTTGGGGAACGACCCACCGAAGGACCCACCACAGCGGTCCTTGAGGGCTCTCCAGCCACCATGTCCCCACAAGCTTGGGGAAACTCAGGCTTATGGTGTCCTCCATCTCCCGCCAGCACCAGGACCCAAGAATCTCAGATTCCTTGTCCCGAGGCCCTTTCTCTTATCTTCGCTTCAAGGCAGACGTTAAGGAACCCTCGCAAGCGGCCTGACCACTAGCACAGGGCTTTTCTCCTCCTCTGCATCCACGGCGCAGGTACATGAGAATAAGGAGGGCAGAAAAAAGGGGAATCTAGGACTGCCATCTCGCCTTTTTCTATCCTTGCCCCCTACTGGGTCGGGTCTGCAAACCTGGGACTTTGCCTAGAGCCCACCTGTGCGATGTGCGCCGTCGTCATGGCAACCAGAGAGGCCTAGGAAGCGATTGGTCCGTTCTCTACCGTGCCCCTACACCAACCACTTCTCCGTAGCTGAGGCAACGGAGGAACGCTGCCCTCCTCCTTCCATCCCTTCTTAGAGAGGGTTGAGTAGGGTAAGGACCCGCCCCCTCTTTCTCACTAACGTTAACGAAACACCATCTCTATCCCCATAATGGTAATTATGGGGGAGGGAAGACAAAGCGTGGCTGGGCTATCAGTGAAGTCACTTCCGGTGAGTACAGGAAGTGGGAGGCAGGTTGCTCAGAGAGACAATGGGATGAAGTGGAAGGGAGAGGAAGATCTAGGAAATCGCCAAGAGGATGGATGAGTGGGAGGGTCTGAGCCAAATTCTTCACTCCCTCTGAATCAAGCCCATTCCAAGTGGTCTGGAGTACTCTCTAGACTACGAGGGCAGACTCCCTAAGGGTAATGTTAACCACTAGCATGTATTTGATAAACTTAATCACATTGTCCCACTGAACCCTGTGTAGGCATTCAGGAGGAACGTCCCCTCCTGAACCTCACCAGCTTTACAGCAACCCACTGTCTGCCCCAGCTGACCTGCTTGGCTCTGTCGGGGTTCATCGTGGTTTGGGGTTGAAGGATGTTGACCACCTCAGGCTTGGTCATCGCTTGAGGGATTTCTCGGACCTTCTCGGCAATAAAGCTGTGCACAGCATTCAAGGCCTCTGCTGTGCCCTGTACTAGGCATACCCGCTCTGTGGTTCCTGTTGAGCAAGGGAGAGACAGGGCACACTCATCAGACAGGAATGGGGACATTCCTGAGAGACAGGCCCCATTTAATGGAAGGGAACACTGAGGTCTGGGGAGTGGCTGTAGGCCTCATGGTCAGTTTGGGCACGCTGGCATGGGTACTCAAGCCAAGATGGGTAGCTGGAGAATGAATGGAATCCCTGTTTCATAATCTGCACTGTACCCTGGTGAGGGAGTTGAAAGAATGATGCTTAACTGCACTTTCGATGCCCACAGTAGCCCTGGGCAGGGCAGACGAGGCTCAGCTGCTTCTTCCCAGTTCTTTCGGGCTCCTTGGTTGCTTTGGCAACCATTCATTCACCACCACCCCCCTTCTAGAAGCAGAGTGCTCAGGCCTGCAATGGTTGCCACAGTAACTGGAACCCCCTTATCGGTCTGGCTGGCCAGGTCCTCAGCCCACCCCCAGGGGGATGAGGGACGAGGCCCTGTTGCCATGGCAATCCCTGAAAGCCTGCAGCGCTGGCCTCTGGGCTTTTGGAGAGGATGGGGAAGGGCTGGGGGATGGGGGATGGGAGAGGGAGAAGAGAGGTCTGAGCGCCGGCCTGGACCCACCAGATGGAGGGCTGTGGGGTGGGGGAGGGCAGGGGAGTGGACAGGGGAGAGTAAGATGGGTCAAAGGCAACTCTTGGAGTGGGGACTGGAGGACTGGGAAGGGAGGGTGGGGAAGCTGCCTTTGCTGGATCTCCACCAGATACTGGCTGCATTTCTGACCTGGGCATCCTCCACAGTTCTATATGTGCTGGGAGTGGGGCACAAGCAAGAGAGAAGCTGGGTGCTGTTGGGATATATGTGTGTGGAAGAGACCCCACCGTGATCTGTGCGTGTACCTGCAAGGCTGCTTGGAGTTTGCAGAATACATGTACGCTTGTGTGTCCTTGGATCAGGCTGGCTGGATAACCATAATCTGTGTTTTTGTGTATGAAAGACAGAGCAGGGGGACTTCAATAGATACGGACTACACTGACACGGGGATTCTAGTAACGGGCTTGTGGGCACCGGGGTGTGGGCAAGACACTGGTGTCATTGTGGTGATCAAGGTTATGTGTGCTCTTTGTAAGAGTGAGCTAAGTGTGTGAGGGTTTGAGAGAAAGAAACAAAGAATCTCACCAAGTGGCACCAAAGCCATGCGATGACTATCGTTTATTGTCGGTGTGAGTGCCTATGAGACATCACCCACTGCGGGGTGTTCCAGGCTCTCGGGATGACTGGGGTGTGGTATGTGCAGGAAGCAGACACGACCCTCTGACTGGTGTAGGTGGAGGAGAGACACACACAGAGACAGGCAGACTCAGGTGTCAGGATGGGAGACTGTCTGGACAGCAGGTGTGCTTATGTATGTGTGTTTCTGAGTGTATGTACTAGGGCAAGACAAAGAAGGGCCAACCAAGACGGGCCTGTGCGAGAATGCAAGTGCCTAGGTGACCCTGGGCGTGTCTGATGTGTAATGTCTGAGTGTGTCTGTCTTCCCGGGAGTGACTTTGTTTGCAAGAGCCATTTAGCTCCTTGGGTCTGTAAAAAGTCTTGAAAGTATGCCAGGCCCCGTGGCCGTGTGTCTGGGACATTTGGCGGTGAGTGTCATTGTCCCACAAGCACTTCAGTGCAGCGTGCCCGCGCTACGACCCTGATCCCTTGCTTGCCATCTCTCAGTCTGGCGTGCCAGCCTTCCCTGTGTCTGGGTATCATGGTGGGCCGCTTGTGTAGTTGACAGAGCCCACCCTCTCCGGGGCACCATCCTCATGTTAGTCCGCTCCACCCCAGAACAATGGCTTGGTCTGAGCCAAGGGTGAGTCAGTGCATAGGCTGCCTCCGTCTGGGTGTAAATAGGAAAGGGTGTGGGTCGAGCTGGGAACCAGGGGGGCGTGGAGGGGGAAGGGGAAGCCCCAGGGAGAACCTGGCTCCATTGGCCAGGTTCCCCCTCCATCTTTGAAGGCTTCCTTCCAACGAAGGAGGTCTGTGACCTCCTATCCTCTTGTAGCTCTTAACCCAGGGTCCATAGGGGTTTTGCACCGGGGCCCAGTTAAACCCTGAAAAAGTACCTCATAATAACAGCTGGTGATTACATAACACTAAGCACCAGGCACCATTCTGAGCTCTTCGTTTATATTTGTTCATGTAGCCTACGAGGTGGGCAGTATTCACCTCCCTGATTCTCTTGCTAAGGACACTGAATCACAGAGAGGGCTCGGGCTTTGTCCAAGTTCACTTTGCCAGAACAGAACGATCGGGGCTTGTAACCTGTGCTCTTAACAATTATGCCATCCTGTGCTAAATTTGGGGTGATTAGTTTTGTGTGTGTGTATGTGTGTGTGTGTGTGTGTGTGTGTGCCAGGGGCATAAATGACTGCAGTTTTGTTTTTATGAGTTTGATATTAAGCAAGAGTATGTTTAATATATCTACTAAGTAGGCACTTAAGGTTTTGCACTTTGGTGCAAGCATGTTATAAATCAATAAAAATTAACAAGACAGACAGCCCTGTGTGTGTATGTGTGTGTTGTGTGTGTGTGCTTCTCTCCTAGAAGTTGGGACCAGAGCTTCATACAAATACTCAAAATCAGGTGTTTTAGAATCACTAGGGAAGCCAGGCGTGGTGGCGCATGCCTGTAATCCCAGCACCTGGGAGGCTGAGGCAGGAGGAGCAGGAGGATTGTTTCAAGTTCAAGACCAGCCTGGGCTACAAAGTGAGCTCAAGGCCAGCCTGAACTGCATAGTGAGACCCTGTCTCATTTTTATTTTTTTGTACCAGGAACTGCACTCAGGACCTTGCACTTGCCAGGCAGGCGCTTGTGCCACTGAGCTACATCCACGGCAAGAGACCCTGTCTCAAAGAGACAAAAAAAAAAAAAAAAAAAAAAAAAAAAAAAAATCACTAGGGAGATCCAGCTGGGCAAGAGTCTATGATGAAAGACTCCAAAAGGACTGTATCTGGAGCTCTGGGACCCACACCCAGAAAGGGACACCTCTTGTATGTTCGGTCCCTCCACCATTTCTCACCTGTTTCTTGGCCTCTGAATACGCAGTTATTTCCTCCTGGGTGCCCTTCCCTGCTCTCCATACAGCTCCTTCCCTCTCATTGCGCGGGCCTCCTCCAGGCCACCATTCCTGGCCTCCCCAAGCTCCCTGTGATCTGTCTGGGTCCCCACCTCCCCCGGACCTCCCTGTTCCAGCCCTGACTATTCTGGGTCATCAATGGCGTGGGCTCTGTCTCCCAGACTAGGCTGTGAGATCAAAGAGGGTGAGGCTGGGATGCTTCAATCAGTGCAGTGTCCCCATCTCCCGTCCTGCCTGGGGTTGGCATAGAGGAGCTGCTCAGAGCAAGTGCGCTGAATGAATGAATGAGTGAATGAATGAAAGAGTGTCAGCCAGGAGCGGAGGGAAGTATGTTTTTTGTCTCATGCAGCAGCGTCTCCATTTCCTGGGTTCCTGCAGGTCCTAGGAAGAGGAGCAGGATGTAGGGCACTATGTGCTACATCTCCGAGTCAGGAGCTGGCACACGCTGTGTGACCTGGAAGTTCCATGTTAGGGGTGGGGTGGGGGCGGGCTGCTTGTCCAGGGGCTGGGCAGAAACGTGGGCTCACGCTGCTCATCTGAATAGTGTTTGGTCGAGGAGAGCCAAGGACTGTCCTATCTTCTGGTTTCCTCAGCGGCCTGGCCGGTGGAGTGTGTCACTGAGCCCAGAGGGAATGACGTGTCTTATGGCACAGAATGTGACTGAGGGTCAAGAAACCTAGTGTCCTCAGATGAATGTCCCAGGCAGAGGTCTTATGCACATCTTGTGGGCTACAGTGGTGCAGGGGAAACTGGGCCAGGGTGGAAGAGAAAAGGAGGCGGTGTGTGCCTGGGTCACTGCAATTTTCTCTAAACTCTTTGCCAAAGCTGCTTAGTGAGATGGCAGGGGAGGGAGGGAGAGAGGGAGGAGGGGAGGGAGGAAGGGCAGAGAGAGAGACAGAGAGAGACAGAGACAGAGACAGAAAGTCAGTGTCCCAACCCTGCGACATCTCTGGTGTTCAACCTAAACAAATTCAGCCTAAATAACTTGACCTAAACAAAGATGAACTAGAACCACTGCTGGACTAAAGATGCAATACTTCCCTGGATTCCTAGATGTCACAGCCCAGACGGACGGTGGGCATGGGAGGAAGCTATGGAGGGGGTTAGAGACAGTGGAGGGGCATTGAGAAATGTATGCTTGGGAGGTCAGAGACAGATCCAGGGAGGCAGAGAGGGAGCTCGGTTTGGAGGGAGGAGGAAAACAACCTAGGAGGCGCTGAGACTTGGGGAAAGAGGGAGACAGGGGGAGAGATGGGCGAGCAGAGGCAGGTGCAGCATGGCGGCAGAGGAGGACTCACAGGAGCGCGGCTACAGCAGCCAAAGGATAGCGAAGGGCTCAGAGAGGGACAGAAAGAAAAAGGTGAGACAGAGGTGGAGGGAAAAGGAAGCAGGGAGAAGGGAGGACAGAAGGGGGGTGGCGGAGGAGAGGGCAGACAGGAGGACGGACGGACAGAACCGAGGCTCAGAGGACGGGAGCTGGGGATCTCCAGCCAGATCCTGAGCGACAGGAGCAGAGAGGGCTGGGAAGAGGCAGGGAGAGGCGGAGAGGGTAGAAGGCGGCGGGGACAGTGCCGGGCAAGGCAGAGAGAGGAGGAGCAGACAAGTCAAGAATGGCCCGGAGACAGAGAAAACCAGCGAGGCAGAGGGGCAAGAGGGGGGTGACAGAAACCCAAAGGGAAAGAGTGGAGGGTATGTGTAACATGGATGGCTGGCCCCTGTGCCCCAGGGACACGCTGACACCTGCCTCCCTCTCCACCCTAGCTCCTCTGACTGACCCGAGGGGGCAGGTGTGTGGGAAGGGACACATCTGCCAGCACATCATGCAAATGAGTCCATGAATATGCAGCAGGACCATTGTCTGGCCCTGCCCCCTCCCCCATCTGCTCAAGCCAGGCCCCCCAGGCTGGGGACAGCTCTGTCCCCTTAGGGGGAGGGGCGGCCCCCACTAGTCTCACTGTCCGTGGGGCAGCCCTCCTCCTTCATCCAGGGCCCAGGTGGGAGAGAGGGCGGAAGGGAGGGAGGCCAGGCACAGAGACCTGGGCCATGCGTGACTCACCAGGGTAGAAGTCTTTGGACTTGGACAGCTTGATGGTAGCTCCCGTCTCCTTCTGCAGCTGCACGATGGTCTGGCCTCCTTTGCCGATGATGGAGCCTGCGGCGTAGCTGGGGATGAGCACCTTCAGGAAGTATTCGCCTTCCTCTGCAGGGGCAGACAAGGTGGAGGGCAGTCAGGCAGGGAGGGGGCTTCACCTTTGGGAATCACTGTCCTCTGGCATCCAGTGGCCAGAGCACACCTCACTGACGCACAGGAGCAAAGACCGTGCAAACAGCAGGGAGAGAACACAAAGGATGATGTGCAGTCGTGCAGTCACTCATTCATTCATTCAACAAACAGCTCCCGAGCATCTGCTACGTGGTTGACACCAAGCAAGAAGAAAACACTAAAAGCTCCCCAATTTTGTGGGCAAATAAGATGAAAAGAATTTTAGTGATTCAACCGAGAGCTTGTACAACCACACTCTTTTAGAGGGATAGACTGTATTTTTTGTCAAATGGCAGTAAGAACATAAAAAGACAGGAAAGAAGGAGGGGAGGTGCAGAGCTTCGATGTCAGATAGGGGCCCAGCGAAGCCGGTCTGGAGAACCTAACACTATTCCTCCCACGCCTCTATGGCACCTAATGCGCGCTGGACTCTGTCCCAGGTATTTCACAAATGCCAGTCCTTTTAATTTTCACAATGGCCCTGGGAATGACATGTTATTTAAAAGCTATTTCTAGCTGGGAATGTTGGCACATGCCTGTCATCCCAGCACTCTGGGAGGCTGAGGCAGGAGGGTCTGGAGTTCAAGTCCTGCCTGGGCAATTTAGTGACTTAGCAAGGACTTATCTCAAAACATTTTTTTAAAAAAAGTTCTGAGTAAGCAGCTCAGTGCAGAGACCCTTGGTTCGATCCTTAGTGCCATTAAATGAACAAACGAATGAATGAATACTTTAAAAACCCATTCTACAACTTAGGAAACAAAGATGAAGAAATCACCTAAGTACACAGAGCTAGTAGCAGGCAGAGCTGAGATCTGAACTCAGTCTGGCTTCCAGAGTCCATTTTTTTTTTTTTTTTTTTTTTTTTGAGACAGAGTCTTGCTATGTAGTTTAGGCTGGCCTTGACTTCACTATGTAGCCCAAGCTGGCCCTGAACTCATGGCAATCCTCCTCCTGCCTCAGTCTCTTCAGTGCTGGGATTACAGGTGTGCACCACCACCCCTGGCCACAGTCCATGCTCTGAGCCATTATAACCAGGCTGTGGAGGGGACAGACCATGTGCAGGGTGAGCACGTGCAAAGGTCCTGTGGTTGGATGGTATGTGGAGTGTTCCGGGGAAGCCAGGAAGGCTCTTTTATCTGGAGCTGAGTGAGACACAGGTTAGTGGAGGACAGAGGGCAGAGGAGCTGCTGCTGGGGGAATGGGGGTTTGAGGCTTGCAGGCCTTAGAATCTCTCTCTGGCTTTTACCCCAAGTGAGGCTGAGTCGTGGGATGGAGGTGACCTAACTTAGGTTTGCAGAATATTCCTGCGATGTGTATGAAGGGAGCAGACTAAGAAGCAAGTGCGGAAGGCTGGATTTTCAGACAGGAGGCAACTGCAGTGGTCCCTGAGGGAGGTGACCGTGCCTGACTGCTGGGAGCGGGGAGGCGCGGGCAGAGCAGGGCTGGGTGCAGGAGACTCCGGGCTCTTGGGCACGAGCAGCACCAAGCTGCGTGCTCAGCGAGCAGAAGTCACAGTCTCCCCATCAGCAGCACAGAGTGAGCTCTGCTTCTGCCCAAGAGGAGACGAAGAGTCACAGGGCTTGCGGAAGGGAAGGACCAGCCGGGAAGAGAGGGCAGCGCTGGGTGAGAGTCCGACCACCTTGGTTCTGCTGTCCCCACCCCTGCTCAAGGTCCCCGTGGCTGCTGGCTGAGGAGCAACAGCTCAGGATCGACCCCAAGACCTAGAAGAGCTGTCAGCAGTGTTCATGGGGCTCTGCTTCTCTTTCTTACAGGCCAGTTTTCTTGGCCAGGCTTAAAGCACTTTGTTAATGCAGCCTCAAGGCAAATCCCTGACATCTACTTTCCAACCATACTGTTGCCCCTAAGCGCTCCCAGCAGGGAAATTCTGGAGCCTTCTCAGTAGAAGACCCTCTGTGATATGTCCCTGCCCACCTTTCAAGCTTTACTTCCTTACCTTCTTCTATGGGCACCAAACTCACTGTGTTTTTTTTTTTTGCTTCTGAAACATTGCCTGCTCAGGGCTGGGTGTGGAGGCCCATGCCTGTAATCCCAGCACTTGGTAGCCTAAGGCAGGAGGATCACTGTGAGTGTGAAGCTAGCCTGGGCTACATAGTAAGTGCAAGGCCAGCCTGAACCATATAGTGAGACCTTGTTTAAAAAACAAAACAAAACAAAACACATGGCCTGCTCCCTCCCACCTCAGGGCCTTTGCACATTCTCTCTGCCTGGAACACCTTTCCCCCTCTTGTCCATCAGGACTCCACTCAATGACTGCTGCTTCTTAGAAGTTTTCCTTGAGTCCTGGGGATGGGATAGACCCTGCCCCCCATTTATCCAAAGGGACCTACTGTGGGCCACGTCAGCACAGTGCACCCCTGCGTCCCAGGGACTTGGGCAGTGTACAATCATGTAATAATGGGTTGCAGCAACTAGTGAGGAAAGAGAAACCAGATCATATGTCTTTGAAATTTTAAGGTCTTAGCATGAACTACATAGTAAGACCCTGTCTCAAACAAAATCAAACACACCTCAGAAGTTAAGGTATTAAATCATCCTCCAGTGGTTTCAACTTTTTCTTTTAAGCAAAGGAAGCCTATTTTTACTGGTTCACATGAAACTCCAACATGAAGAATGGATAAAAGAACTGTTCACGCTAGGGATACAGCTTAGTGCTGGAGTGCTGGTCTAGCATGATCGAGACCCTGGATGCCATCCTCAGCACCACCAAAACAACCAACCAACCAACCAACCAACCAACCAACCTGATCTATAAAGGAGGGGCTGGTAAGCCTCTGGAAGTCCTACACACCTTGGTCTAGCGTTTAAGAGTGAAGGTACTGCTGGGGACATAGCTCAGTGGCACAGCGCCTGCCTGGCAAGTACAAGATCCTGAGTTTGATTCCCAGTAAAAAAAAAAAAAAAAAGAAGGGTGAAAGTTCTATACACTGGGTGTGGTGGCACAAGTATATAATCCCAGCCCTCCGGGAGGCTGAAGCAGGA